AATGAAGGTTGGCTGGATGTTAAAGGAGAGTCAAGGAGTATTGGATAATATTGAGATACTTAATAAACAGTGAATATTATTGTAAATGAGCACAGTATTTAACTTTGAGTCTGCGACAGGTCAGGGCCAAAAAAAGTCATGCTGACTCACACCCCTTCATTTCCACCCCCACCCTTTTATTCTTTAATGGTAGAAAATGCATTTGGAGTTTTTTCTTGGTCCTGAACTCCGAGAGTTATTGAGTATTTACAAGCTCTACTAGTTGTTTTCATTTTCTCTTATCTAATTTCGATTTTCAAGTGCAAGAATTAAGCTCTCAAAATTATGATAGTCCCCCCTTATTAAAAATATTAAATTAAATTTTTTAAAAAAGCTTTTACAGCCAAGGCCTTTGTACACAGATTATTCCTGTCCCTGGGAGTGTGATAGAGTTTTCGCCTGCAAATATAAATCTCATTTTCTTTGTCCAAGTCCATATGGAAAATTTAAGAGGTTTTCTTTATATCTTTATGCAAAGATTTTTGTGTAGCGCACTGAGAATTTATGCCTAAAGGGTCCCCTCAGATGATATAAGAGCCACTCGGCAGCTCTTCTGGAAGTCTGTCCTGTGGCTGTATGGCTCTTCTCATTGACGTGCTGTGGGGGCCGTTGACAATAAGCAGTCTTCTCACATGCTGAAAAGCTTTGAAAGGGATATTTCAGGGAGACCTTCACAGACTCAGTCTTCCCACAGCCTCTCAAAGCACTGACCCTCATAGCTGGAATCTCGCTTTACTCTTCATTTGCTTGCCAAGTTCACTTTTTCTCACACATTTGTCAACCCTGAGCACGTACTTTCCCACAAGAACTTAGGAGAAAGGATTCATGAGAGGCAAGTAGGATGCCCTGCATCATGGTAAGCTTATCTCTGTGCTTCCGGGGCTCAGCTCTGGAGCCGACCACAGCGGAGACCTGGCTAAGGTGCCCATGGGGTAGTTTGCACCCAGTGGGTACACCCTGCCCAGGCTTTTCCTCTTGCTCCTCTCTGAATTTTCACCTTGTTTTGTGTTTCATTGTACCCCAGGACATGCTTTGAGGACGCATGCTCCATAGTTGGTCAGGTAGTCTGTTCTGGAGCTAAATTTAATGCTGCTTCTGGTGCCTACAGGCTGTGGCCCCACCTCCTCTTTTCAGGATCTTTCTTTTCTCGAACCCCCCTTCTTGACTGGCACTGAGAGGGGGCACCGAGCTGGCGTGTCTGTCATCCCTTTCTAACATGCCAAGAGCATAGAGCCCTGAGGCCACACCACTGTCTTCCCAGCCTGCCACCTGCTCCAGGTCCTCAAACAGTCACCAAGCTGCTGTCCCCTTTGAGCGACCCAGCAGTGACAAGTGCTTGCTGTTCTAAATCAGGAACTTTCTAGGAGTCTGTGCGTGAGCATCAGCAACTGAGCAGAAGTGAGCAAAAGCCAACGGCTCCCTTCCGAATGGTTCTCCTGCTTGCATCTGTGGGATGATCACGAGCTGGAAGTAAATTATTTCCGAAACTTTCAATTTTACGAAAGTCGGTGTTTCCGAGTTAAATATCACACCTTGTTTCCACTCTTCATAATGAGCAGGGTTGCTTCAGAAGCCCACTTCTGGTTACAAGGTTGGGTGGAAATTGCGGGCAGGGCTCAGGAAGACAGAGCCCATGAATGAGACCACGGAGAAACAGTAAAAGGTTTCGACCCTGTGGGAGGAAGGAGAAAAACAACAAATCCCGCATGCACTATATTTTATCCATTATGTCTGCTGAGAAATTCGGGTCAGGACCCAAAAACTTTGCTTCATCTCCTGGTGTTTGTTTCAGCTCAGGTGGGGTGGGCTCCTCCTTTGATGGGTCATTTCCTTTTCTGCTTTCACATCCCACCCTGCATTAAGATGACAGATTTCACTAGAGGCGAGGGCACACACATGGAAACCTGAGCTATTGAGTTAACAGAGTGAGTGCAGGGGAGTCGATTTATTGTAGGGAGTGTGGGAGCTCAGCAAAGGCTCCCAGAGCTCAGCCCTGCATCCGGCCGCAGCCAGGGCTGCCCGATGCCGTCCCCAGGAAAGACTCCATGCTCAGTCCCATCGCCAGTCTCGCCACGGAAGAGAAATGTTAAAGTCATTAAGCAACGCCCTGCAAACCCATGCACACACTCCAGATTATTCTCTCCCGGAGCCCACTTTGTTCAGACATCCCCTGATGTTTGCAGAAATATTTGGGGACAAATAAATAGAATAAAGGTCTGGTGTTCTTTTTCTATTTGTGAACACTGCAATAAATACTTGTCTCTCCCTGCCCTGCCTTTAGTCAGGGGGACAAAAAAATCTGGGAAGGCAAAGAGCAAGTCCGTCACATCAAACGCGACTGTGCTAAATACTAAATGTTCAAAGTCCGACTGAGATAGATAAAGGCTTTGATGGAAAGTGGATATTTCCCAGGGACATTACAAGCAATAATCCAGATGTTCTGGTGTAATGCAACGAGTGTCCACGGATAGATCAGGAGCTCCAGCCAAGCCGCGCCTGATGGAGGCCTGAGTCTTGCCCTCCATGCTGTTCCGCCATATGGAATCTATCTCCAGTTCCCCTTAATAACCAGCTTTGGATTCCATTTTCACAGAGCTCATAGAGCTAAGTGGGGCTGTTTTATGGACAAGTTAGATAGAAGCCTTTCCAAGATAAACATCCAATTTGAAATTAGGACATACCAAGCCACAAAATTATTTTAGGGCATATTTCATAGCAGCGTGGCCATTTTTCTTAGGCAATTGCCAGACTGTAGGATGCCCTTTGATCTCTTGTGGACATTACTCCCTTCTTTATAAAAAGGATTCTGAAATAGTTGCAGTGTTTAGGGAGGAATATATCTGTCGGAACTTTGAAGCATGGCCACAGGACAGGTCATGCTTTAGCTCGTTGGTTGGCAAGTCAAACTTTTAGAAGAAATATATAAAAAAAGGAAATACCAGCAGGATATATGAATCAAAATCTCATTTTTGCTTCAAAGATAGAAGTGTTCAGCCCATGTACTTAATAAACTATAAACTGCATTAAGTAGGTCCACCTCTGTATACACATCGATGGGTAAACACGCACGTGTCTGTCTAGAGAATGTGTTGTGAGAGTGTTTCACAAACATAAAATCACTTAACTGTGACTATTTCATAAACTTTCATTACTGACTATATTTTATTCACAACCTATCGACCAGTGGAAGTGAAGAATTCTTCACACGCTCCAAAGGAGAGAGTTTTTTGCTTTAAAATGAATCCTTTCCTTCTTTTAAAATAAAGTTTTGATCATTTACTTTTGTTTTGCAATACAATGCACATTTCAGAGTGCGGTGCCACACCTCCATGTACAAGTTAATTATTCACTTAAAAATAAATGAAACAAACTACCCCTCTCTCTGTGTCTCGGCATGCTTGTATGTATGTGTGTTTGCGTGTATATGTTTGCACCTGTGAGTGTGTGAATGTATGTGTGTGTGAATATTTTGAGAGAAAAGTGACACAGATATGAAGTGTGGGAACATAGGTTTCCTTAAATATATTTTGTTTAAGATTTTCATAAAATGACTGACCAGCTGCCTAGCCTGGCATTGTTCTTCATATATTAAGGTGGTGAAATGATGTGTGTTGGGTGACGTAAGCCGGTATACAATTAACACCCCCTGACACATCATTTGTTGTATAAATTGTGACTAACTGGTGTCCGAGCAAATTGGTGTCTGCGTGATCTTGGAGATATATTGAGCGGGTGACAGGAACGAATATATGGTGTTAGAAATTCATCGCTTCACTGTGGTACTTGACGCCATTTGCATTCTTCAGTCCATTTATTTCTCCTTCAAATAAAGCAGTCCATGCTTGTGCCATTTCACTTATTGAACGGAAAATGTAAATGAACTCCGCTAACTTAATGCAGTGTGTGGCCCATGGGGGGTTCTCACTCAAACAAACTAACCATAAAAAGGCATGGCTGGAGACCATCAGGGAATGTGAATGGGTGTTGGATATTTAATGATGTTAAGGGAATCACAGTGGCTTTTGTCGAGTGTGAGTATGGCATGGTGGTTATATAAAAACAAATATGGATTTTTGTGCTCAAATATTTCAGCCAGAAAAATACAGTGAAGGGATAGGTGAAATCAAATTGGTGAAAGGCTGAATGTGGTGAATAAGCCATGGGCATTTATTCTACTATAATCTCTACCAATGTGTGGCTTAAAAATTTATATGAACATTAAAAATAGGTAAAATGTGCCTATCCTCCTTTATAATTAAATAATAGGACCTGTTTGCCTTTTCCCATGTTCTGCTAAAGGGGATGTGTGTGTATATGTGTAGCAGCATTTAGAACAGGGAAAAAAAAAATAAGTTAACAGTTACTGAGCCCCTACTGGGTGCTGTGTACTTTATTTATCCTTCCCTTCCCTCCGGATCTACAAAGCTCATTTAGCTGGTAAGGTGATTACAGGCAATGTCTGGAGTTGTGAATATCGCTGTGGTATTGAGCTTTTTAGTAGTAGCCCAAGGAATAAAGGGGCATGGGGACGGATTCAAGTGTGAAGGATAACTTCAAAACCGTTACTGCTAAATGCCCAGAGGTATCCTGCTTCCCTGCAAAGCTTTGTCTTATTCTTATATCTCTGGTTCCCAGAATGCCTTTCTTCCCTGCCTACTATTAAAAGAGCCAAAGGCAGTTTGAAGGATTCTTCCCAAAGAGAGCATCTGGGTGGGAGAACAGACCTGGGCCAAATGCAAGCGTTATTCACAGTTATCCCTTGCTGCAGAGTGTTTCCAATCCAATGCCGGGAAGCAAAAGTAACTGGGATGGCAGCTTTGCGAACCAGGAGGCAAGCCCCTCTCACCAGGCAGGGAGTGCTATTTTTAATCAAGTAGGGAAAGCTGGAATTCCTCTGATCACCATAGTCTCACTAAAGAATGATCCGCCAGTTTACACGTCGTCGTTATTTTTTACTTTAGTCCTCCTTGATACGTAACCTGCGGCTCTCGGAGTCCTTGAGAAAGAACCAACTCTGGAACGGGATTATAAGCATCACTTTGTTGGAAGGAAAGAATGTTTCGGGAGGAACTATGACAGAGATTTTTGTCCAGTTAAAACTGGGAGATCAGAGGTATAAAAGTAAGGTAAGTTCTGTCAATTCCTAAAGGAGAATACTTTAAGAATAAAATAATTGAAAAAGCAGTTCCCACTCTAAATTTCATAAGAATAAACTTTATTCAGTGCCTTTTAATTGTATGAGGAGAACCCTAGGAACCAAAATAATTGTATCGGTGCGGGACACTAAGATGGGGATTTGATTGCTTTGTGTAATTTTAGTAAGAAAGCTTACTAAATAAATAGCAGGTTAAAGATGAGATTTATTTTCATTTTGAAAGTAATCAAGAATGTTTCTTAGAATGCAGGGGAAAATTAAATGTTTTCAGAATCCTACAAAAATAATATACCTGTGTTAAAATAATTGAGATAACTAAAAATGTCATTTTAAAATTACATACTTGTTGCTTTCTCTTACTTAGTATTAGTAGTATTAACACCAAAAAATAGTCTCCGTTGATTTTTGCTGTGACTTCTTAAAAAAGTGAAGCCTCCGATGTATTAAAAGTAGTTTGCTTTGAACAACAGTAATGGCATTTTTAGCTGTTTTTATAAATCAATCATCATGTCCTCCTGATCCAAATTCCACTTAATTTTTAATCTTAGTAATTTGGTGTGGTTTTTATTTCAAAAAACAGAGTCTCCAAGCCAGGCAATTAATTAATTTTACATAAATGTCAGACAGGTATATTGCTTATGTTTTATGGATTGAGGTAACAGGGAACTTGAATGTTAAGACACTTGCCAAAAGCCACATAGGAAAAAAAACAAAACAAAACAGTGGAACATTTTGAAAGTAGACCCCAGAATATTTGCAATTCAGGCTTTTCTGTGTAGACGACCTAAGAAATGTAGACGAGTTGAAAACAATTTTAGAAAGGCAAGAAGTTGTCTCAGCTGCCCAAGTTTCAGTGCAAAATCAAACATGAAATGCCACTTTCGGCAGCACCTGGAATATCATCGGAGCTCATGCCAGAGAATCATTTCTAAGAAATTCAAAAAGCGGAGGGCAAGTTACAGCAGAAATATGCAGATAATTAGTTTAACCAGGGAGTTGCAGGCTGTATCTTGGCGTTTGTATCCAGGGAAACCGCATCTCCTCACCAAGATTCCTTCAGCCAGCCGGGGTCAGACTAAGGAGTTACAGAAAAATTATTCACTGCTAAGCACACTTAGCCCTTTGGACTAAGGTGAAATGTAGAATTAATCCAATGCCTGCTACACTCCCCTTGGGGATATTGCATTTAATTGGTGATGTAATAGGGGCATTTTTCCCCTTCTTCTTCTCCCTGGTTTCTGAATTCTCTGATCTGACAGATGAAGCCCAAAGTGAAATGAGTTGAGTCGATGTTTCCAATACAGGCTCCAGCCAGCCGCGTGTCCTTATTTATGCCACGCGGGGAGAATCGGCACTAGGATTTGGGCTGGTGCTGTGCCCTTCTACCCTGAGACCCTGTTAATTCACAAACTGACTAAGTACATGAAATGGACATAAACATCCCAGCAGTGGATCCAACACATGAGCAGTTTGAAATTGCTCTTGTGTGGAGGCTGCAAGCCAGGTGTGCTCACGCTGAAGTTTCTTGCAGAGGGATTTCCTGGTTGCCCTCTCTCTAGTGACTAGATTCTGTAAACTCCAATTTAAAACAGGAGGGCAGTGGACAAGTAATGGTTTTTCATGTCATGCACTGACACATGTTCGAGACCCTGAGCTGTCCAGTTACTTAGTTAAGCCAGCCCTGAACGGAGGTGACGATAAAAACGTTAGTTTTCTTTATTACGCAGTGTCTTGCATGAGAGGGCAGCTGTGACATATCTGTTGTGATGTGGCCGATATAGACTTCTCTGGTCCCTGGTGGGGTGGAGGTATTCTTTTTGCCTGGGGGGCTAACAGATTAACGCAGGGACCAGCAGAAGAGTAGTGACCTGTTCCCAGTTCCTGAAATCCTTTCGTCCCAAAGGGGAAGTGTAACTTGATCGGGGAGCCATATCCTCATGGTCTCCTGCAGTTTAGACATGAAATGAATGTGGCTGCTGTGGCGATGAATGGCATTTTAAGAAAATAAATATTATAACTGCATGTTTTCTAGACACTGGTTAAGAGTGCAAATCCGCAGTGGCGGGAAGAGTTTGACTTTCACTACTTCTCTGACAGGATGGGCATTTTGGACATTGAAGTGTGGGGAAAGGACAGCAAAAAGCGTGAGGAGCGCCTGGGCACGTGAGTCAGCTTTGCTTCCTACAGGGCGGGAGGGGCGGGCGAGGGGCGGAGGTGAGCGGGCGCCGTGGGGCTGGGCGGCTCGGCTCGAGCGTCCGTCGGATGGAGCCGCCCACCCCAAGGGGCCATAAGTTCAGGTGGCCGCTCCCGGGGATGCACGTTTTCCTTAATTGGTAAATATCATTTGGGCTCGATTAAAATGCAAAGATGTAGTTCTGTGTCAGGGTTTCTCTAAAGAAAGGTGATGTGTGTTCTCAGGCGATTTGGGTCATGTTTCTATCAATTTCCAGTGGCTGCTAGAATGTTGGTTCCCCTTGTAGTGAAATATCGTATCGTAAGATTCTATAATTATCCTGTAATTATACGATTACCGCGTAATCATAGAACGACGTAACTATCATATAATTTAATGGAGCTTGGTATCCCAACTGATGGGAACTTTTCAAGTGCCCACTGGACCTCAGACAAGCCAGAATGAAATCGACCGAGGCTGGACCTACTTTATGTCTTTACATCGAACCCTCCAACTTAACTGAGGACTTGCCGCCCTCTCTGGGCTGCAGCAAGGATCACCCCTGTGAGGGCCCGCTGCTGCCGGAGCGCGAAGGGGTGCCCTGGACTCGGACGCCATCTCTGGCACTGCAAATAGGGAGTCAGCGGCCTGTGCTCGAGGACATGGTGGCCGAACGCCCGTGGACGGAAGGGCAGCATGCACCAGGCTTGTGTTTTCAGAGGCCAAGCTTGGCTCAGCTTTCCTCCATCCCATGTTGCTACAACCTGTATGCGCCTCTTCCATGTAGACTTAAGTGTGATAATCAGCAGTCATCACCTCTGTCAAACCAGTTGTCTGGAAACTGGGATACTGGGAAATGCGTGTTTGGGGGCCTCTGGGGGGCTGGTTTCTGCACCTCTCCCCTGTTGCACGCTCCATGGCCTTCCTCTGGCGGAACCGGGTCTTAACTGCTGAAGGTCAAGGCGGGAAGACACTCCCCGTGCTCCTTTCTTTTACAGAGGAGGGGATGAGAGCTCCAGGGAGGTGGAGGGTTTTCTACCCATCGGGAGTTTCCAGGCAGGAACTGGAGAACCCTGCTTTTGTCTGTAAGATACCCCCAGGCTGGAGGGCAGGGCCTCGAGGGACCCCTGGTGTCTGACAGCGGCCCCCACGCGCGGCACAGGGCAGGGTGTTAGGCAGACCTGGCAGCACCCACCGGCGTCAGGGACCTTCCCCAGGGGTTGTGCGGCAAGTAGGCTCGCCGTACCCTGCACGGTGCACCCGCATCCTGGTGCCCGGGGCTGCCCAGAGCCACACTGGCCTCGCATCTCGCATCCCAGGTGTGCTCGTTCGGGCGGCCACGCGGCCCAGACGCCCCGACCTATGTGTGGCGTCCTCCGGCGTGGCCACCTCTCTCTGGCCTCCATTCTCCCTCCTTCTCTGACTCAGGGAAGCAGGAACACTTTAGACACGGCTCAGTAGTGCTGACACTTGTCACATGTGACGCACGGTGCCCTGATAGCCTCCGTGGTGGGGGAACAGAGGCCGTGAGCCTGCCATGGCAGGGGCAGGGACGTCAGCGCAAGAACACTGTGTCCGCAGTGGTGCCTGTGGGGAGGAATTTGGCCTTCAGTGATGGATGACCCGCCGGGCTCTTGTTCCGGGAGATGCAAAGAATAGTGTCCTTCCCATGTGACAGCGCTATCACGCTTCCTTCGCCAGATAGGAAATGCTTTTCCAAATGAATGGGCAGTGGCCTCACAAAAAATAATTAAAGATGCCCCTTTTAGAGCATGAGATGTCCCAGGCAGTCATTTATTACGTTAGTGCTTTCCTGTTTGTAACTCAGCAGTGCACCTGCCCTGGCGGTCCTCTGTCCTTCCTCTTCTTGGATTTGAAAGGAGTTGGGGAGGGTATCCTTTTCCTATTTCCGCTCTTAGGGCCCCCAAATCACAGGCATCCGTGGGGAGTTGGTGACAAGCCCCCGGGGCGCTTCCAGGTGGGCGGCCCTGCCTCAGAATACCTGTAGGGCGAAGGGAGGCCTGAGGGGGGTGGAGTTGGGGCTTCTCCTCCTGATGGCATTGGCCTCCACCCGCGGCTGACCTCTTCTTTCCTCTTCATTCTGATTTTAAAATTTTCACCTTTTCCCACTTCCTTTTCCTTGTTGTTACAATTCTAAGGCTCGGATGTCTTATCTCCATCTTTGGGAACTACCTTCTCACACGAGGAGACTCTAGCAGCGTGAAGAAATGTAGCTGTCACTGAGGCCTAACTCTGGCCCATATTAGTTTCTTGGTGTCACCTGACACTAGTCATTTATTTATTCATTTGTTTTATTATTTTTAAAAGATTTATTTATGCATAACGAACTGGGATACAGGCCAGAGATGTGGGGTAAGGGGGTGAGAGGACTCCCCAGAGACAGAGTGGGGAGCAGAACAGGTGGATCTACTGCAACACACTGCTGAGGGGGCAGCGGGGAGACAGGAAGGGTCTGCTGAGCGCTGTGGTCACTCCGTGGCCGGGGATCAAGCTCGTGGGCTGTGCTTTCATCCATCGCGCCCCCAGGGAGGGCCTGATGCTCGTCATTTAAAGCTCCGTGCGCGGCCTGTTAGGAAGTTCTCGCCAGGAAGCTCTCCTCATAGGCAGTTCCCCGTCCATGCAGGAGAGACACCAGCTTTTGAGCTGGACATCCTGGGCTTGCTAGACCATGGACGTGCTTGTGGAGTCTGGCCCGTGAGCCTAGCAAGGTCCCTGGCCCACGCACAGCACCCTCAAGGCCTGCTGACAACAGGCCCGCTGGCTGCTTCGGTCTCAGAACGCTTCAGAGCGCTCTCCGTAAATGCCATTGCCAGGCCTGAGTACTTCTGCTGGGCAACTCTAGGCCCATCTCACACACAACTCAAAAATACTATGCCACTGAAGAGAATGAATGATGATGGATAAACACGTATCTTAGTTCTTTAACAATAGTTTGGACTTTATTTTTGCATTTTTTTTCCCCCCGGAAATGAGAGTGCAGTCTTCAAGTATGTATTGGGAAGGACACCACGTGGCTGAAGGGTTGACGGACCCTGTAGATTAACCTGAAAAGTTCTGGGGTTTGAGCTGGGCTGGAGAGCCGGGGGTATGGACCCTGTGCGAAGAGAATGTGTGTGCGTCAGCCTCGGAAGGATGCTCACCCTGGCCCTACCTGCCTCTTGCCCTCCAAGCTCCCCTGAGACCTTGGGACTTTCTGAAACCCCTTGTCTACCTGGAGGCGCCCTTGAGGCCACAGTCAGCCCTGAGGAGGCCAGGGCTGCAGAGATGAGGGTGTTTGAGCAGATCCAACACCCATAGAGCTTCTAAAGCCAGTGTTTGTTCGTGGGCAAGAAAAAAGCATCATGGCACAGGGACAGTGACCTTCTAGGAGGGGTGAGAAATAAAGCTAAGTTTGAGCTGCTTCAGCTTTTACACAGAATGGCCAGAGTACAGACTAGGCCATCATAAACCTGTGCTGCTTAAGAGAACCACAACATTTCCTTGCGATATAGTTTACTTTCCAAGGTGGTTCTAGAAATCAACCCGGTAGGGAATATTCTAGATGTAATTCCATTTGGGAGCGTTAACCACGAGAAACACAAGCCCAGTTTTGACCCAGTGGCCCCAGAGCCAGCGGTGTCTGTGCCCGTGGCTGACATTCTCCAGGTTTTATGAGCGACTCTGGTGCACAGGCGAGTCGGGCTGGGGTTATTTCTCTCGACAAATTGCACCCACGCCGTTGATCTGCTTTTACAGCCAGGCTTGACACATTCACTGTTTTCTTCCCGCTCACCCCCTTCCTCGGGCTCTGAGATTTACAGCTTTTAAAACTATGGCACTCTGTTCCCCCCTTGCATTTAAGTTAAAAGCTGACCAGTCTGTAATATAAAACATAGAATTATGGTAATGAATAAGAGGTTAAAAGCTATCATGGCAAGTAAAAGTTGAGCAGGTTTGGCTGACTGATACGGTGGAATTATGTGTTGAATTAAAACATTGAAACGCTGTGGGATTAATGGAGAAAGACAAGAACAGCAGGTCAGACTCGGTGCTAACTCAGCACATGAACTGCCTGTGGGCTGGAGAGGACAAGCCCGGCCAGGCCCGGCGGGTACTGGGCTGGGGCATCTCGTGGTACGCCTTGCACTACATTTATCTCCATGGCTGTGTGACACAGGGGAAAAGTGAGGTTCCAGATAGTGTGTGGGTCACACACGACACGGACCCCCAGTGTTGTTCCTTACTCTGGACGCTTCACGCCAGGGGCACCCCTGTGAGCTTTCCCTTTTAGGCAGTGACGCCAGAGCACGTGACCTATCCAGCCTTGCAACCGAGGAGATGCTGGGTGTGGTGGGAGTGATGCATTGGTGGCCCTTACTGTGCAGGGGCTGTGTACCTCAGGCTCCCTTTTTTCCCTCCTTTTTAAAAGATTTATTTCTTGCATACAAGAACTGGGGCATGGGCCAGAAGCGCAGGAGGGTGAGGATGCACCAGAGAGAGTGGGGAGCAGAACAGGTGGATTCACCGAAACACTGCTGAGGGGAGCAGCGGGGACGCAGGAGAGGGCTGTTGCTGTGGTGGCTGCTGATTGCTTCATGGCTACGACTTGACCTGCTGAGCCACCAGGGAGGCCCATGCTGCTCTTAACAGTAGCTAAGAGAAAGCTACTATAAGAAAGACCTGAAAAAGAACAACAGATTCTTTAGTGCCTCGGTAGAATTAGAAAAATTTTAGATGCCAATGACATTATTTAGTATTTCCTCAGGATAGGCCAATCACTAATGGAAAATGGAAGCCTAGATTCTTCTTTCAAATATTTTTACATGAAAAATCTCTCTCATGAATATACTTCAGAAATGTTTATATTTTAAAGATATTAGAGGCTTTACCTCCCTGGGACCTAAAAGGAATCATTTTGTCTACTCTGGGAAGGAGGATGAGAGTTGTGGTAAAAAGCATCTGAAATTTTGAAGCAGTCCTTTCTCTAATTTTTTTTTTCTTTTCTTTTGTATCTAATACAGTAGCCCCCTCCTGGCTTGGGTTGATATTAATCATTCTGCAAGCTTCTGGCTAAGCCCCGCGCTGCTGGGTCTCCTTGTCTTGTGGACAATCTACAGTAAGGTGGACAGAGGTGGAAATAGAGTGATAGCCGCAGTGGAGAGGGCCTTGTTGGAAGACATTTCCTTTATTATCCTCTGCCCTTCTTTCTTCCAGAATGTGGAGACAGACAGGAAAGCAAGGTGGGCTTGCTGTGAGAGCAGTCTGATTGTGGAGAGTTTGTGCAAAGCCATCTTCAGTGGGAGCAGCTTATTAAAACTAGGGAGGAGAAGATAGTTTTAAATTTATTCTGAAGACTGGACATCAGTTCACATGATGGGGCTGGGCATCTGAGGGGTTGGCTCATAACTCATGTGCAGAAGGACCAAGGTTTAATGTTGTTTGACATGATGCTGATATATCAATTTAATTTGTCCTTTGAAGTCACTGAGGAATGAAAGAAAGGATTTAGCTGAACTCTCTCATTAGTCAACCGGCTCCATGCAGTTGGTCCTGAAATACCCAACCTGTTGTTTTGGGGAGTCTGTTGTCTAAAAAAGGTGGGGCTATTTTTCATGCGGATGTGTTCTTTCCATGTGTCTAAGTCATCACAGTGAAACTTTTACACCCGTCTCATGACTGAAAAGTTTGTGGCCAGTGAATAATTCCTGAGAAGAAATCAGTGTGCTCTGTTTCATCTGACATGATTCAGCTTCTGTGAAGTAATGCATTTCTCTCTTTAATCAACTTGTGACATTAGACAGTGGCCAGGAGAGCTTGCAGGATTACGGTCAGTCTCCTCAGAGTGCTTACATTTTCTTGGTAGATGTCTTTTTAGAAATAATGCCAGGTCCGTTCTGAATTATCCAAGAAAATATGTCTTATTCCCTTAGTATCCATCTGTTTAAACACCCAGGCCCTCATGTGCTCAGTTCTGGATATTCCAAAACAACACCCTGCACCCCCCCCCAAACAAAAAACAAAACAAAACAAAACAAAAAGTCACAATATAAAGGTCAATTTCAAAGGATAAAAGTAAATTGCCATTACTAATGGTATTGAAATGAGTGTGCAAGAAATAATTTATTGCTAATTAGGACTAACGTAACCAATAGAGAAAATTCCTACAGATTTTGATCATTTATTTTCGCTGATAAAGAGCTTTCCTGAAGGGAAGTCTGTGTGAGGCTGTACTGTAATACTAAGCACGATATGCCTCCCCAAGGGGTACTCCTGCACTGTTGGTGAAGAATTTGTGGGTACTCTGTTTTGTTGACATAGCAGGCCTAACACACTAGACACACTAGACAGCCCTTTCATTTTGGGGGTTGAGATTTCTTTCTACACAAAATTGATTTCTCATTCACATATTTGCTTCTGAAATACATTTTTGCAATAAACCCTTTTTTCACAGTAATCTTTTTTTTTTAAAGTTTCCTTATAGCTACCAAAAAAAAATTACTTTGATTCAAATCATAGAGGTTTATTTTAAACGTTTTTTTTTTTAAGTTGTCTCATGCTTGCTGAGCTTTTTACATGCAGAAGCTCTAATTGCTACCTCTTGCCATACGTGGAATCACTTTTTGTAATTGGGAAATACATACCCACATATATTTACTTCTATTTCTACATAACAGTAGGTAAAATATTTTTATTTTGTAGTAAAAACTGGCATATAATCTTGCTGTTGTCGTTTTCTGTCTAATTGGGAAGGGATCGCAAGTTTTCTTTCAAATGTGTTTCCTTGGAACATTTTCTATTTCTTTGTGGCTCAAGAGTGGTGCCGCGTTATGCACAGGTAAGCACACCTTGTTCTGATTCTCCGCAAACGTGAAAAGTGCACTGAGCACGGGTGGGAAGAACCAGTGTTGGCATATTTTGAGAGGCAGCTTGATTCTTTATCAAGACTGGAATGTTCATCCCATTTAATGAGAACAGAGGACAAACGAGGATTAAAAACATTCCCAGAAACTGCTAGAAACTGCCCTGGCTGCACGTCCTGCCCCTCCACGCCTGCCCACCTGGCCACCTATGTGGGGGCCACGCCAGGTGGGCCTGTGGGAGCCACGCCAGGTGGGCCAGCGCAGCGGGCTTGCAGTGTGAAGGCGATGAAAGGCCTGAGCACCTCACTCCACTGCCCTGTTTGCTGTTGTAATCAAAAGGATCTTGAGGTTCAGTCTCCCCAGAATGTCTGCTGTTACCAGGTGGAGGACAGTTGTGAGCAGCTGGCTCTCAGCCTTACCTGCGTCCCGCTGTGTTGGGATCTCAGCACCTCTGCCGTCTCCATTTGGCCTAGAGCCCTCCCTGAGGCCCCGAGATGCTGCGACTGCTAGGAAAACCCTTCACCTGCTTCTTGAAATGAAAGCTCGCTGGTTGGCGGGAAGGAGCCGTCTCCTCTGACCTGTCCTCTGCACTCCGCCTCCTCCTGTCTGTGAGCAGCCATCCTGACGCCGTCCCTCACGGCTCCTTTTCCTTTGCCTTCATTTTAGAGGGTGTCAGGCAGGAGTGGGTACCCGGCATCCTGGGATGAGAGTGGTGTTTTACAAGTAAATGAAAAGCATCTGGTCAATGTTGTTTCATTCTCAGGTTGAGGAAAAACAAGCCCAGCTAATGTTTGGTTTCCATATGTGTCAGACACTCAAGTGGGTTTCGAATAACCTGAGCGTGGGGCAATGTGGAGTCTTACTCTCTTATGAAGCAGGGGAACCCCTCAATTCTTCAGTGCCTCCATCTGCCCATGCCCAGGCAGAGTGAGATTTGGGGGATGCTGAGATAACATCATTCTGGATATTCGGCGGCAGCCCCCTTTTTACTAACTCTTCTTCCTCTGGCTGCTGTGACTTCTCTAGGTGCAAAGTCGATATCTCCGCTCTCCCTCTCAAGCAAGCCAACCGCTTGGAGCTGCCGCTGGAGACCTGCCCCGGGACGCTCCTGCTGCTGGTCACGCTCACGCCCTGCACGGGGGTCTCGGTCTCGGACTTGTGTGTGTGTCCCTTGGCAGACCCCAGAGAAAGGAAGCAGATCGCCCAGCGATATGTGAGTGCCTGGCCTGTGCCATCTCTGCTTTTAAGTCAGAGCAAGGTCTGTGTGTGGAAAAGGCCACATAGGTCTTTGCATACAACTTAAGGGTACAGCTCATAAATCAAGGCATCGGGACTAGAGATTCAGGCGTTGGTAGGAAGATAAAGGCCGAGTTGAGGGTGCCTTGCCATTTTAAAACCTACACAAGGTATTCTGAATTTTTAGCATTTAGGAAATATTTTTGGAAAATTGAAATCCTCTAGGAACCAAACTTACTCAACCTTTTTGCAGATATAAAATTAGGCATTTTAATATAAGTTTGGGAAAAAAAAAGCTTCTTTTTATTTTTTTAAGCTAACCATTAATGCTTGCCATGTTATAAATAAAATGCTTGTGATTATAAAGTAAAGCACTGGGCAGACATGAATGACTCCACCACGACAGACAATTGCTGTGTGTGATTTTTCCAAACAGTTGCAATGTGCTTGAAAGTCTACTCAGCATTGTTCATGGAGTGGCTCAAGTTTCTTCACTTGGTGTTTTGACTGACTGTTGAGGGGCCTGTATTTACATTCTATTTGACACTATCTTCTTTGTAAATCAATAGGTTTATTTTATTTGCACATACGAAAGTCATGTTTTAGGGAAATGGCTTGAAATGAAGCCAAGAGGAAGCCTTATTTAATGGAAATATTATTCTCCACATAAAGTTAGTGCTTCCAGAATCCTTCCCTGGATAGGTGTATTGATTAACTGAATAATTATTTCAGAACCCTAGCCACATATCTATTGTCAACACAGATTCTGAATGTAAATTTGGCCTTCTCTAACAAAGGTTCGACCAAATTCATTATTAATATTCTCTCTGAGGATTGTTGGTTAAGTCAAAGAAAATACGATGGTGAAAGAAAAAACAACTTTTACCTAAACTTTATTATGGACAAATAGCAAAATTGATCCAATCCATGAGGAGTCTCATGTGCTTTTAAGGTGGTAGAGGTAAAACTATAGTGACTGCTTTGAATACTTCCCCAGGACTTGCTTGAGTACGAATGGGGAGTGGTAGGAAGAAACTACAACCAAATAGAAGTTTTCAGTGATTGTCAACGGGCACCCTGGCTCGCTTGGAGAGAGAGAGGTTGTTCTGCTACCAGACCGGAGCTTCAGATGCTTGCATTTACTTTGTAGGTCATAAGAACAGATAATCTTTAAAAGCATTTCCATCTCTCAATCGTAAAAGTAGTTTGTTTCAAAGATTCTCATCTCAGCTTAAAACCTAGTTTTGATTTTAACTTGAATATAACAAAGAGCAACAACTTTTAAAAAATGTCAGAAGTTCTTAGGAATGCTGCCACTACATCAGAGAAACCTAACTGGTAAGCTTTTGTTGTTCTGTCCTGAGATGCCTGAAGAGCAGGATTTTACTAGCCTCCCTGGGGTCTGCTGCTTGCAGGTTTTTAGCTCTCTAAGATGGTGGAAATACTGCCGCAAAGGGCTGGAAGCAGCACCTTTCTGACAGATGTGCACTGCAGGCCCGTGGTGCCTTGATCTGCTTCTCTGCCCACGTGGTTTCTCATGGCGTGGTGCGCACAGACTGGCCACGTGAAGGGTTCAGTGGCTGCTTGAGCTTTGGCTCATGCAAACTACAATATAAAGTAAGTGCGAGTACAGAGGGACACTAGGTACTTCATGTCATTTCATGGGGGGACTGAAACACAGGCCAGAAAATTCTCTCCATTCCCGTGACTGCTCTTTTCAGTGGTGCTTGGCTCTAGGAAGAGTCCACACTTGGCCTCTGGTGTCTATAAACTTGGCCCTAACTAGGTCAGAATGATGTTGCCTCTCGGGTGGTTTAAGGTTTATTAGTGAGAAAGGAGAGGAAAAGTGAGAACGACTGTAATTCCACAGACATTGTCACGGTGGGGTATCTGTGCTATCACCGGGGGTGATGTTAAAAGGAGATTGTATGTGCTGTGTAATTTGTTTATTTTGAAACTGTAGCTAATTAATCCTCGATCACTTTTAATCTGGCTGCTGTAAGTGCCCGGCTGTCCTGTTGACTGATAGAACACATTCAAAGAATTATGGAAGCAGGAACGCACTTCTGATAGGGCTTTATGGCATTAAGTGGTGCATTAGAAAGCTATTTGCATTTGCGGTCCACTTTTCTCCCCTCTAGTGCTTACAGAACTCCCTGAAAGACGTGAAGGACATTGGCATCTTACAAGTGAAGGTTTTAAAGGCAGCGGATCTCTTGGCGGCAGATTTCTCAGGTATAAACCATTTTCATATTTAATTTATTTTTGCCATTCATTATTGTCCTACTTTGAAATAATCCTACAGTGAAGCAAAATGTCTTAATAAAAGAACTATAGGTACAGTGATCATCCTGTGTCTGCAATAGTCATAGAAGAAAAAAAGTAGCAGGCAAGTAATTTGTTCACAGAATGGCGACGTTTCCACAATTACTTCTTCAAATAGTTTTATTATGATAATGCTGTGTTATGAGGTGATCATTGTAACAATGTACTTATCCACTTAGGTTTGGAATATATTTGTGGGTTATTAATGCCATGTCTTCCTTGTGTCTCAGGGTAATTTTCTGATAGAACTTTCTTCAAAAGAGCTTCCACTTCTAGCCTGTGCCCCTTGGAGTGCTGTGCAGGTAGATGTCTTACTCTTCACTGTGTTCGGTACTTAGTTTGTGAATCGAACCTTGCTCTCTGCCAGCTGGCCTTCTCTATCCTGGTTACCCAGTCCCGGCCTTGGGGCCACTTTGTGGTGACAAAGCTTCTCCTGGTGCTTCGCTAACCTGATATTTTGTACAGATGCTTGGGCAGGTGTGTTTGTGCGGAAATGTACTTGGCTCCCAGGCGAGTGTTGCACATTCTCTGATGTCTGCTTGGAAGGCAGCTCTCCATCGATTAGCAAATTACCCCTTGCACTGAGGGGCAGATCAGGTGGCAGCCCAAGAGAGGCCATTTACCAAGTGAACCGATGGGCCCAAGGAATATTATAGAGCATGGATCTCTTGGGACTTTTTTTTTTTAATCTCATATTTAAAAAATTGTGGTCTATTCATTTTCTGCCTTCCACGTGGAAACTATTACACCGATATGAATGACCTCTGAATTTCTGAGAACGAGTTTCAGGAAGCTCAAGCTTTAGAGGTGAAATTTTTAATTTTCAATGTTAATGTTAAAAATATAAACTTTATTGGGCCCTCTCTGGTGGCGCAGTGGGTTAAAGCACAGCACTGAGAAGCTAAAGCCACTTCAGCGTGAGTTCGATTCCCGCCTGCCCCAGAGGTGACCACATGGCGCGGCAGACCTCTCCTGACCCGCCCGCTGCTCCCCTCAGCAGTGTACTTTGCCGATCTGCCTATTCTGCTCCCCACTCTGTCTCTGGTGAATCCTCTCACCATCCCTGCACCTCTGGCCTGTACCCCAGTTCTGTATGCACAAATAAATAAAATCTTTAAAAAAAATATAAACTTTATTTTTAAAGTTTTCCTCACCTTCCCTCAAAAAATATGAACCATAGAAGTCACTATTTTATGAAGAAATGGCCAGTGAAATGACGTAAACTGGTTTTTATCATCAGTATGAATATATTCATTTCCAAGGTTATAGACAAAATGCATTTCATTGCAAATGTTTACTGTCTCATACTGACTTAAAAGTTCTTCTTTTTCTACTTATAACTATTGAATACACTTCACACATTTTGAGTGTCTTTGACATTAATGCTTTAATGAATAAGTACATTTAGTTATCACTTTCCAGAGCAAAGTCCAGAGCAAATTATTTATTTCCACTTCATATTTCAATACAGCATTTGATGAGCTTATGCTTGTCACTGTCTCTTAAAGTGTTGTCTAAGCCCCCAAAGCTCATTTATACCTTCAAGCAGCATTTTCAAAACATTTTTGTCTGGAGTTGTATATTTTGTGAACTCTAGCCAATACAAGTGCATTAAATATTTTCTTTTTAAGAGCTGTTTTTAACAATCCCCTTTATTTTACACATTCTGTCAGATGACCACCAGAAAGTACCCTCCCCCCAAACTAGGCTTTATAGAGAGACCCCTGACAGCTGCTACAGAGGGCATTGTGGCTGAAAATTAAGGAGATAGTAAGGACCCTAAAAAGTGGGTGACTGTGAAGAACTGATTAGATGGCAAAACCTCTTTTGGGGGAAAAGTCGTCATTTCATTATTTAGTTATATTCAAGATATTCAACTGCTAGTTTTGGAGCAGATGAAGGTGTGTTCCTGAGGATTCCAGTAACAAAAGGCGGCGGTAAGGGGGTCACCAGCCTCCATTCTCTCATTTAGGAGAGAATTAGATCACTCCTGTGAAACAAAGATCCTTCCGTAGGTCTTTAGATCAGACTGATGTTTATTTTTAGAATCAAGTTTCACCTCTAGTGTGAGGATCTCCTGCAGATCACTCTCCCCCACTGCACGCCCGATAGTAACAAAATCAGCCTAAACCAGTTGAAAAGAATCTTTTTTAGGTGAGAAGGGAAATGGATTCAGATCCCATTGAGGTAGTGATAAGGTTGTACCATGGTCCTTGAATTGCCCAGGCCCACCAACGTGCAGATATTCTTGTAAAAAGTGTAAACTTAGGGTACCCACAGTACCCGCAGTACAGATGCTCCCCCCCAAGTCCAGTGCTGTCCATGTGTTTTCCTTATGACTTTCCTCATGACATTTCTTCTCTTTGCCTGACTTTGTTGTAAGAATTCAGTGTGTGAGACTTACACACAATGAGTGTTTGTTGACTGCTTCAGTCAATAGCTGGCTCATTGTAGTTAAATTGGGGGAAGTCAAGAGTTCCAATTGCATAAGAGCTGGCATCCTTAACCCCCACCTTGTTCAAGGATCAGCTATAATTAGCACCCCAGGAGTTAGCTTGTTAAGCAGTTGTGGTGACTCCCAGGTTCTTGCTGTTACAATTTCAGTTGACAGACAGTGGAAGTCCCTGGCTTTATTTGATCATGAAAAAGCCACTGTCCTCTCCATGACAGGAACATTTATGACATATGAGTCACTTTTTATATCTAGATCCAGCATTCTCCAGTCAGTCTCACTTTATAAATGTGTTCATTCCATTATAATTTCCCAGAGAGCAAAGTATTCAGCCTTGTAATTATTTATTTTTAGATTTTATAATAGGCACCTCTACATTTATAAAAAGCTGTGCAGCTATTCTGAGTGACTGGGCATTCTCCAAGAATGACACAGTTTTGGACAGAGTGCAAAAAGCAGCGTACCCATAGTTCCACTCTGGGTGGAACTATGTTTCTTCCATTATAGCTTCCCGCCCCTCCTTCATTGTTTCTTTCCTAAACACCACCAAGTAATCATACTAACTGATGCTTCAAGGACTTAGGCCTGGAGGGAAAGTGAATGCATTTGGGGAGTCCTGGGGTCATGGTTGACCCAGCTTGAAAACATGCAAAAATTGTATTTTGCAAATAACAATTATAAAAAGAAAGTCTTAGACACCCTCGCCACAGTGATTAGGTTAGAAGGCTCTCCCTCACTAGTTGTTAGAATAGTCGCAAAATATTAAACATACTTTGGAGAAACCCTAATAGCAGTATCAGAACACTGAAATAATGTTATTAATTATATGAATAATATGCATTATACATTAGAGATTCGAACATTTTGATTTAAAGAATTTGGAACCATGTATCATTCCTGATAGCCTGTGCCTCTGAAGCTATTGAAATGTGCACTTCAGTGTTCTCACAACACTGGGTGTGGGGTGGTGTTAGTAGTAGTAGTAGTAGTAGCAGTCATCATTGTTGTCATCATCATCATCATCATCATCATCATCATCATAATAACCATTAGTATTCATTCGAACAGAGGAGTGGGCCAGATACTTATTAAAGAACTCAACCTCACAAACACCATGTGCCTTAAATCTTTATGTGACTGGTTATCCAATGTGATGTTGCTACTTCTGTAGTAAAATGTCCCCAAATATGCTAAATTGTACTTCAAGACTCAAGGCAAACATAGCTCTCTGTAGTGTTCAGTGAGACCAACCTAATTCACTAATTCACTAAGACCTAATTCACTAAGACCAGTTACTGCTGGTCTTCAAATGCAGCTGTTTGAGAAGAAAGTAATTCACATTCTAATAATTAAATGTGAGGACTGTTTTGTGCAGGACAAAGCTGAGACTTGATTAGAGCAACAGGTTGCAACCCCACAGCAAACACCCCCAGAACCAGTGGGCTGTATATTTTGCTTTGCCCCCGGGCACATCAGATTTATGAGTTAATATTGTGAGAAAAAAATGCCTGGCTTGTACTAGACTATAAAAAGATAATAAAGTGGATGATAGGTAAATAGAAAAATTGTTAGAGAACTGAAATATTTTCTGTCTGGAATTGTTTTTTATTCAGTACAAACAATAGTGCCTTTTTACCTAAGGAGTGGTTTTGCCGGAATTTCAGCATATATGCAGAGCTTTTTTTTCTGAATGAGCGCATCGTGATGGACAGAGAGAACCCTGGGGTGGGGTGAGGGGCTGCCAGAATGGTGGCATGTGGTGCTGTGTCAGCCCGACAGCGTGGAAACCATCATGGCCAACATTTGCTCAATGGCCGGATCCAACCTGTCCTTGGTGACTCTCCCGGTCTTAGAATCAGAATTTCACTTACAAATGTATTTCTGCTTGTGAATTAGTTTTTATTAATTTTGTTCTATAAAATGATTCTTATATATTGACTCACTTCCCCCTAAGGACTCATCCAGTAACAAGACTGATTATTCTTTAGTTTCCTGCTGTTTTAATTCTCTATCCAGTTGCCACTCCCAGTAGGCCCCTGCCTGCTAAGAAGTAGTGAGGGATAAAATAGTCAAGATAGACATTTAGGAGCATTTTCTTTATCTCATCACGCCAATCTTAGCAAAATAGCAAGTACAGTAGCTTTGCAAGCCCAGCTCAGTGGAGGAGGATAGTAATATAATAATGTGATGTATGATTTAATATGATCTAATATAACACAATTTAATGCAGCTCACAATCGTCTCTCTTTTAGTGGTGCATTCCACCTTCATGTTCTAGTCATTCAAGTCATCTAGCATACTAAGAAACTGGTAAATTTTCAGCAGGCAATGAAGGAACTAAATGCGAATGCCATCTTTAATCACAGTTTGGAGATTTTTGTCCTCTAGGGAGTTTTCTTCTACCCGTGCAACTTTAGGACACTTTTTGCCATACAAAAATCACCTATCAAGTGCAAAAAGTTTCCAATCATTCCTGGATTCTCTTTCCTTGCTGGCAGTAAGGTTATTATGTGGTCTCTTTTCTCTCTCCAGTATTAAGAAATAACTCGATTACCAAATGTTGTCACCTTAAAATATCGGTCAGAGGAATGCAAAGACAACATGTGTTGAGACAAGAAAAAATGCAGGTTATTTTGAAGTAAACTTACTTGATGGCATAAGCAGATGCAGGATCCTCACTGTGTCTTACCCAAAGGAATAAAGATACATTTACTTCCAGAATTTCCTGGTAATTTCCAGGGAGCCCATTACAGATGGCCCAACTGCTTTTTACATTTTTTTAAAGCAAAGTCAACTTAGACATAGAGGTAGTGACTGGCATCAAATTCTAATCATCTCCTGAGCCTGTGTTAGACTTGCTTAATTAAGGAGTCTGACCCCTTCACACCCCTCCTTTCTAGAGTATCCCAGTAGGGGGCACTGTGTGACATCGCTGTGGACCTTGCTCAGGATCAGGGTGGCCTCTTCAGTTCCTTGGCAATGCAGTTAGGAGGCGCTGTTGATCTGTTCCACACACGGCTTGGTCTCCCATGACTGATTGAAAGAACAGAACCCTTTGTAAGTGACTGCTATTCAGAAATTAGCGAATCAATGTTCAGTTCAATGATTTATTCACTGAAAATGAAAATGAATTCCCACTTTTTAAATTTTTTTTGCCCTTTATATTTATGGTAGCTGCCTCTCATTTTAATCCCTGATATATGATGGTGCAGAAGATGTGTAGAAACAGAGACCCAGACCTACATCTTGGTTTTACCACCTAGTGATCTGGGGTCTGCTTGAACTTCCCCTTCCTCGTGGGTATTTCGAGGGTTAAATTCAAGCCTAAACGAACATTCTGACACATTACATGCTCAATAATACTATTCCCATTCGCTACTAAATATATATTATCAGAATGTAGTTGATACGAGGACTTTCACAGTTTATTGTCTTCTTGATTTTCTTTTCATAATTTCACTAATTTTACATAATGAAACTATAAGCATCACTAATCATTGTTAGCTCTTCAGCCACTTTTAGAAAACTGCAGCTATTGCTCTACAGTTTTTGTTTGTGCTATGCTGTTTGTGTTGCCTGATCAGAATGACAAAAAATAATACGCTTCATGGCAGGAAAAAAAAATTCTCACACCAAACCAATTTCATGTCTGCATTCACGTTTTGATAATCTGGATAATGGCTTAACAATATAAATGTCTTAGCGGGCTCACCAGTCATTTCATTACATATAAAACTGCTACTCTGTTGATCAAAATACTGCATTTAGATTCCACATTAGAAAGCAGAACAACTCCAGCCATATGCTGCAGTGGTGGCTTTTGAGTAGTTTCTGTGAATTATAACACTACCTGCATGTGTTTCATTCTTTTTGTTTTTGAAACAAGGCTACTTTTGTCCGAAAGAAATGATACCATAAGTATTGTCCACTGGGAATTTTATAGCACATGTCCACTTCCTGGCTTGGCTTGGCTGGGAAGCAGAGTCTACTACAATACTCTCCTCCAAAAGATGTCCCATTTCCGACGGGAGGGCTTCAACTACAGTTCAAGACATCTCAGTAGTCGTGAGAGGGTGCTTTTTATTTTCACAAGAAACGTGTGGATAACCAAACCCAAGTCAACACTAAATTTTATTTTAAAAGAATAATGTATGTATGTGTACAGAACTGGCGCACAGGCCAAAACTGTGGGGGCGAGGGGGCTCACTAGGGACAGAAGGGGAGCAGAACAGGCAGATGCACTGAAACCTGCTGCTGAGGAGAGGTCTGCTGTGCCCTTGGGGGTGCTCCTTGGACGGGGATCGAACTCAGGCTGCAGTGGCTATGCACAGTGGCTTCCTAGTGCTGAGACTTAACCCTTTGCGCTGTGAGGGAAGCTCGTGACAGACACCTGCCTGTGGCAGACCATCTGCCTTAACAGCTTCCGAGCATGTGAACTCCAGGACTGAGGTTAGGGAGTGCAGGGGAGGTCAGTGTTCGTGGCTTCTGGAACAGGGAGGATGAAAGAATTAAGAGTCACTCGATCTCACTGCTTGGTTCTCAGTGACATCTTGCTTCGTTCCCCCTCTCGGGAAAAGGCCCTGCTCGCCTGGTGGGGAGGGAGAGTCGGGCACTGTCCCCACAGGAAGTGGCTGCTGGTTAAGGAATAGAAATGAATTTGAATTTTGCACAGGCCTTGGGAAATAGCGAAGGCTGGGGTGCCAGGTGCTGGAACATCAGCCCGACGTGCATTACTGATGTGAAATGGCGTCCAGACGACGTGGCCTCTGCATGGGAGCGGGGTCACCTTCATGTCTCACCTGTAAAAGTAGGTGGAGCAAAAGCCCAGGCCTGCCTGGGCTGTCCCCTCCCCGCCATCAGGGACCACTGGCCATTCATTTATTATAGGAGATAATTTTTTCTCAATAAAAAAATATTCATTATTTAAATTTTATGGACTATCTCCTTTTATCTGGAACCTTTTAGGCAAAGAAATCAGTGTGCAAAGTGTTCATCAATCATGAATCACTCTATAAATGTTGGACTGCCTTTGTTTCGCCTCCCTCCTCCCTGCCTGTTTATACCGTAATATTAATAAATGCAGCATTTTAATGAGCTTTGACGGAATTATCTTCAGAGAGTTGTGTAGTGTGTTCCTGGGAGACTCATAACTGAAGTTCCCAGTTTCTGGAAGGAAGTCTGCTCCTCATTAGTGGGACAGCGAGGAGCAGGCAGCTGAGGCGGGGCCGCCTCTCAGCCCACCTGCGCCTGCGCAGGACGGGCCCGGCTCGGCCCTGCTGTGGGGTAACCGGGGCTTTCATTAAAAGCGTCAGATGGCGTCCCCAGAGCCAGTGCTGATGGGATGTCATGTGGGGGCCTCTGGAGGGGACGCTGACACCTTCTAACAGTCTGACAAACGGCTAAGTGGCTTGGATGGAGGCAGGAGCGGCTCCTACCGGAGCCGAGAGCCTGAGTGCTAGCCGCTGTCATGTTCATGGTCATCAAAGAGGCTGCATGTTCTTCTCTATAGGCAGAGCTCCCCTCCTGCCCTCCCCTGCTCGCTCTATAAGAACTTGGAACTTTATCAAGTCATGCTTCTGCACGTCCAAAAGCACTGAGATGTGTCTTGTGTTCTTAAAACGCACAATGGTGCACAGATCCAGCGTGGTCATTCACTCCAGAGGGTGATTTTAACTCCCAGGTAGCCTTCTTGGTGCCTTTTCTCACCTCTCACAGCCACACTCAAGGCTGTACCTTTTCAGAGCTTTCTTTCTGAAGCAGAGATGAGCTACATTTTTATTTTTAGATCTATTTATTTATGCATATAGAGCTGGGGTACAGGCCAGAGTTGCAGGGGGTGGGAGGATTCACCAGAGACAGAGTGGGGATTAGAATAGGCAGATTGACTGACATAAACTGCTGAGGGCAGTGGCGGGCGGGTCAGAAGAGGTCTGTTGGGCCCTGTGGGTCAGCTCCGGGGCCAGGGATCGAACTCGTGTTGCAGTGGCTGCAGACAGCTTGGCCCTCCTCGATGTCACAACAGGTTAAAGTGCTCTTTAACCTGCAGACACTGCGGCCCACAGCAGCATGCGTTAGGCAAAAGTGCTGCACTCTAACCTGCTGTGACACCGAGGAGGGCCCAAGCTTCATTTTTAAAACAAAGCACAGAAGAAGCCTCTCTCTGACCACATTGACCACGTCCCCGTGATCACTGGTTCCCAGGCTTCTCCTGGGTGTGTATCAATCTGATTCAGCAAATACAGTGTACCCTTGAGCCACATGAGGGTTGGGGGTACAACCTCCCACACAGTAAAACGCATCTGAGATGACTTTGACTGCCGCCAGCCTTAACTACTCGCAGCCTGCTGTTGACCTGAAGTCTCGCCAAGAACAGAAACAGCAATTAATCTGTTTTATGTTGTATGTGTTGATACTGCTATGATAAAGTAAGTTAGAAAATGTTTATAAGGAAACGATAAAGAAGAGAAACTACTTTGACAGCACCGCTCTGCAGTGGGTGACACCATCAGCTGACATCATCTGTGTACGAGAACATCTGTGGTCAGTGGACCTGGGCTGTCCAAACCTGTGTGCAGATCCCATATGTGGCCCCTGGATAGCTCCTGAGTGTCCACACAGGTTGTCCACAGGGTGGGCTGGAAAGACAGCCCCTCTGTTCTTTCAGGACACCCTGTTTCATGGAGGAGATGCTTGGTGCTTGTCCACTTGGCCCCCATTCCAAACACCTTCATTTTTCATTGACCAAGGGGATTTATTTGTCTTTGAGCAACGTCTGTGTTCTCCTTCCAGGGAAGAGCGACCCTTTCTGCTTGCTGGAGCTGGGTAATGACCGGCTTCAGACGCACACCGTTTACAAAAACCTCAACCCTGAGTGGAACAAAGTCTTCACATTGTAAGTGTTTCAGCCTCTGGAATCTCAGGGAGGGGCCTTAACTGGGGACCCATTGTCCATGTCAGATTTAGGCCAGGCCGGACGCTGGAGTGAAATTCTCTGTCCATCTTTATGTGCAAAGAATGGATTTTATTGTTTTTTTTTCCTTTAGAAAACCTTTTATCCTTTCAATTTATAGAGTACAGTGTTAATAATAGAAGAGGGCAGTGGGAGATGCAGGGAGTGTGAAAGGAAGCAAGTATAAAGTGGACCATTTAGCGACTCAGTTAATCTAGGAGTACATAGAAGCTCCCATATATCTGGACCAGTTTAGTCCTGGGTTAAAGAAAACCACAGTGAAGACCTGCCTTAAATTCAAGGAGTTTATATATCGTGACATTATTTTAATACCTGAAAGGCTTGGCTTCTGTCAACAATCTACAGACGATCTGATTCCTCACAGACCCTCTATTCCAGCGTACCTCCGTCACCCTCTATAATGAGGCCCTGGCCAGCTTTTGCAAACTCAGGAACTTGGGAGGCTGGATCTGTTTCCTAATTTAACTCCTGAGGTACCTCATCCTCCAAGTGAGGCCTCTGATAAATTTGGGTGAAAAGCTGGGGCACTGCTCTGGCCACACTGAAGAAATGCGCGATACTGCTTCTCACTCAAAGAATGAAGTCAATTTTGAACAGCGCTGATGGCATTTGTAGAAAGTTCCCCAGGAAGTAGGCAAAGTGGATTAAGGGCTAAGCAGGTTTGCAAATTGCTCTATGAAGAGTCACCACGCTTCCCCAGCATGTTGCCTGTGTCTAGTTGGGCTGATGTGTGACTTCTGGTCAACCTAAATAAAGTCCCTTAATACGGGGTTACTGATATTTGCATTTCAGCAATAGGAAGCTTACGTATCTCTGAAAATAGTGATTTTGAGCACCCTTTCCTAAGGGAATTGTTTGTTAATGGAAATTTGAAAACAGCTTGATTTTGCCCTTTTCTCTTGGAAGTGACATTGAAATCCCCGCTTTTCACCCTTCCTCCTCAACCCCTGCCTCGAAGGCACGTGCACAGGGAGAGAGTTGAGTAAAAAGTTGACTTTTTTTTTTCACGTGGATGTCTGGATCTCCTGTGATGGAAGGTTTGGGAATACAGTCAGTTTGATTTAATTTTTGGAGTTTAATTAAATGGTAGTTTTATACTCTAAGGACATACAGACTTAATTAGTGAAACCGTGTTTTCAGATCTTCACGGAACAGACTGCACTTGTGTGTTTTTGTATCTAATACACAGTGTGTGTCTTATTTCAGTCCTATTAAAGATATTCATGATGTTTTGGAAGTGACGGTGTTGGATGAAGATGGGGATAAGCCCCCCGATTTTCTTGGAAAAGTCGCTATTCCCTTGCTGTCCGTAAGTTACCTTTGTTAATAAACAATTTGTGAGTCTTGTTACAGATTGATACATTTTCAGGGTCTAGTGTTGTTTTATCTTTGTCAATCAGGGGAGAAATCCATCCCCTCGCCAGCTGTCTCAGGAAGCAACTGTTTAGCCTTTATTCTTAGTAGTTTCAAATTTCAGATATAAAGTAACATAAGTTTCTTTTTGTGCCAGCCAAATACTAAACCAACCACCAGGAACATTTTGATTGGTCTTTTACTCCACCCTTAATCTCTCCGACTTCAGGTGGGGGTCTCCCTTTGGTTTTGGGGAATCCATGGCTATGAGTAATTTTCTATTTGCTAAAGGAAAACATGCATGTGTTTCTTTATTACCTCTTTACTGCCTGTTTCTGCAAAGATTAATTGCTGGTTATGGCACCTTTGTGCTGCTAAAAAGCATCATTTTCAAAAGTTCTATTTGTCTTTTTTAGAGTCCTGTTTGCTTTCAGTCTCAAAAACTGCTTTGTGGGAGAAAGTGGAGCTTCTCCTGGAAGGCTGTGTCTGGCAGTCGAATTAAAAGATAACGTAGTAGAGAGTAAAGTCCGCTAAGACTATGCAAAAACTCTCTACAAAATCCCTTGCAGAAAGCACCAAATAATGCCTTTGCGTGGGTAGTGGGGAACCTGGGGTCTGATGTGACCTATTCATTGGACACAAAAGTTTGTGCCAGGCGGCCTTTTGTTTTTCATCCAGTTGCCACTACAACGTCATGGGGGCTCCGTGGACTTACGGGTCCATACTGCTTTATGCACTGCTTCCCGGTCTGCCTTCTCCCCACACTGGGGTGCGTTTTGTGTTTGGGGCCATCTGCACTTGAACCCTCAGATTACACTAGCTTCTGTGATGTTGGAGAGGGGGCGCCATGCTTCTCCACAGCCCCGCTGTGTTCGATCGCCTGACTAATTTCTCCCCCAGTTCCCATATCCCTGATGTTTGTGGAAGAGAGGGGGGGAACAGCTGCTCCCCGGTAGAGGCTGTCCCTGGCCGGCTGCTGAGTTGCAGCCTGGCAGGGCCTGGGAGCAGAGGCGGTCATTTGGGATTCCCCCCCCCTTTTTTTTTTTTTATTATTACAACTTTGTCAGCTATTCCTGAAAGAATACGTGTGGTGAGAACGCGGCTCACACGCGAGAGAGGGCCGAGGCGATGGGACGCCAAGATTCCCTCCACCATTCTGTTTCTTCTTTTGTTCCCTTTCCTTTTTCCTTTCGGGCAGCCTGGTCAGTTTGGTGTTCCCGTAGCCCCAGCAACCTGACCCCTGTCTCCCCTCCTGCCCCCCTATGATGGGCAGTGTCCCCTCACTGATGAGCTGATTCACCCCCGCTGATGGGGTGTGTGTCCGGGTGCATTGTGGGACGCTAAGGTGCATCCCCGGCTTCCGCGGGCCAGATGCTGGTCACCCCGGCCAGCCACCCCGTGGTAACTACAGTGACATCACAGACATGACCAGTGCCCCCCCGCACAGCCAGCCCAGCAGAGGCTCCTGGCCCTCACCCTCCAGCTCGTCGCCCCTCGCCTCTCGGCGCCAGGCACAGTGGGCCGCGGGAGGCTTGGTGGAGGTCAGCACTGAGCCCGGGCGCTTTCCTACCGGTTGGCGGTAAACTGCCCCAAGGTCTGTGGGTTCAGTCGTTTGATAAATTTTTATTTATCCAGTGTCCACTTTGGACACTGTTTTAGGACAGAAGGGCCTAATAATGACCGCAGCGAAGTGTCTTCCTTTTGGGGAAATCCTTTGGTTGCGGGAGACAATAAGACCACGGCGGGCACCGTGAGCAGGGTGGTCTGCATGGGTCAGGGCCGCGCCGAGGTCTGGCGAGGTCTGGTCAGGGGCCCGCGCGCGCCAGGGGTGCATTTGAGCGAGGCCTGAAGTGTATGGATGGATGTCTGAGCAAACTCTTCAGGGCGGAAGGGATCTTCCTGCAACGTGCCTGTCCCACTCAGGAAGGAGCCGCTGGCGGGATGTGGGAGCTGGAACTAGAAACGGTCACAGGGTGAGGGTCCGCGGGGAGGTCCGGGGAGTCGGACTGCGGGAAGTCCGCAGGATGTGAGCTCTGTGGCGACCGCAGCATCGGGAGGGCGTGCTGACCAGGCCTGCGGTTTCTGGTAGAACACGCTGTAGCTCGGGAAGGAAGACGCTGTCCGACCGGCCTGCGCCTCCGTGCGGCGGCTGTCTTGAGCGTGGCTGCTTCGATCCAGATTCCCGTCCAGTTCTTGGACCAGCCCACCGGGCAGTGGAAGCACGTGGCCAGCCCAGTGGGTGTCTCCCCACGCTGCAGACCCCCAAGCGGCACCATCCCCCACAGGTGCAGATTCCCACCCAGGTGTGGCTAAAACTCCCACAGAAAAAATTTGCGACATCCTGGGACTCTAATAGGCGGTGAGAAATTGTTCCTCTACTCATTTAATGCCCAGCTTGGCTATCTAGTTATTTGGATCTGGATTTTTCCTTGATTTAGTATCTTCTGAGTAATACTGAGCTAGCAAACCTGGTGCTGTGAGTTTTTCATTGGTTAAAAACAAAAAAAAGGCCCTCCCTGGTGGCGCAGCGGGTTAAAGCACAGCACTGAGAAGCTAAAGCCGCTTCCGCATGAGTTCGATTCCCGCCTGCCCCAGAGGTGACCACAGGGCGCGGCAGACCTCTCCTGACCCTCCCACTGCTCCCCTCAGCAGTGGACTTTGTAGATCTGCCTGTTCTGCTCCCCACTCTGTCTCTGGCCTGAGCCTCTGGCCTGTACCCCAGTTCTGTATGAACAAATAAATAAATCTTTAAAATAATTCATTGTTTAAAACTGGTTTCATTCCTTCTCGGACAACTTAACGGGATTTTTTATCATGACCGCTCAGCAATGAGGGGGCTGGGCCGGGTGGAACCCGTCCCTGGATGTGAGTGCAGACTGTCACCCTGGGGCTGAGCTCCTGGGTTTGTCACCTGAACAGTGGGTGTCTGTCATGTAAATATCAAGTCCAAAACAAGAAGCAAGAGTCTTCTGTGCGGCCAGTGGGCTGGGAGCAGTCAGAGTGCAGGTGGGACCCCAGAATTGAAGGCTTGCCTCTTGGCGTGAGCTCACGAGAGAGAAGTAGCAAGTGCCATAGGAAAGGAATGGACACTGCGAGGCAGAGGTGTGGGTTCCCCTAGGGAGACTTCTGGAAGCCGAGAGCTTGCCCAGGTCAGGAGCAGGCTGTTGATAGTGGTGCCTGGTGGGGTGAGGGCCTTTCCATGCAGAGAGTGAGCAGGGGTGCAGGAGAGGACCCCACATCCAGATTCTGCAAAGAGACCTTTGTGGCAAATGCAGAGTGAGTGGGGTGGTGGGGAAAGAGGCCCATGTGGGTCAGAAGGGTGGAGCGAGCTGGACTCGGGACCCTGAAGCCTTTCCACCTGGGGTGGAGAGAGCTGAGCAGCGCATTAAGGAAGTAGACTCAGCTCCAGAGTGGAGCAAGCTGAAGAGAAGGAAGACTCTTTGGGAGCATTTGCTTGAAACTGCAGAATTAAGCACCAGAAAGAACAGCCTTAGAGTTCATGTTTTTGGCATTGTAGAGGAAGGGTTTATGTCTCTGCCTTTTCAGTATGAGAGAGAACCCTGGAAATGCATTGTGAGCGCTTCAGTGTCATCACCAGAGGGGATGGACAGTACTTGATAATACCCGGTAAAGTTCAGTATTTCACAGAGAAGGGTGAATACTTTTAGGAAAATACACTTCTTTCATCAAGTCATATATTCTTATAAATTTAAAAACTTGATATGTAATGTTAGAGAAAATGCAAGTTACGTTTTAAAATGTCTATGTACAGAGTATCTCTAACGTATTTCGACTATTAATCTCTCTCAGAATGGTAGCATGCTGGGGGACTTTTAACCTGTTCGCCTGTTCTGATTCACTAGGTCTTAAATCAGGCTAAGGATGCTGGGTGATTATTGACTTATTTAAAGTCCATAATCTAAGACCATTATATCTGCTAATACTGGTAGATTGTTTCAAACATATACGTAGACTTAGACATGGGTCCGGATCGAAAAAGTTCACACCAATAGTCCATACTTGACTGTGTTTCATTTCTTTTCAGCATTTTAATGAAACATTATTTAAAAAAGTGGTTTTCTATAGGGGCAAACTTTACTCATGATGAGAAACAGCTGAAAAGCGGAATGTGCATGGACTGTATATTCTGCAGGTTCAGAGTAGTTGCCTATTTCCATATTATTAAAGCGAATCAATAACATGGCAAATAGATGTTGAAAACACAAAGGACATTTTTGAGTTTCAAGCATTTCAGGCAAGGATGTTATTTCCTAATAATTATTGGTTAATTTGACATTTTTACCATTTCTACCCTCACTTATGTTATCCCAAATCAGTCCTAGAGTCAGCTTCAATTTCTTTCCCTGCTGATTCCATTTATTATAGCCCTGGCTTATCTTCTCACAGTTATTTAAGGGGGGCAACTTAGAAGTGCTTTGAAAGCTAGCTTTCTAAATAGGAAAAACATCTACTTATTGTATTTCCTAATCTTCAAAGAGACCCTTTGTGATTAGGTGAGCTCCTGTATTCTAAAACAAATTTGTGTCTCCTTGCCCATGCCAGCCACCCGTGCAGGTGAGTCTGCATCAGGAACCAGTCTTGGTTCCCCAAGTCCTTCCACATCTGTGACTGGCAGCACCAGTAACAGCTTCACTTAACAGTTTTATGGGACAACTTTCTGTAATTGCTTGTACCAAATAAGTGCCCATGTCATCTTTATCTATATTTCCAATTAAGTATTTGTACAAGTTTCACCTGTGATGGGTGCATTGTAATGGGCATATATATTTTTTGAGTGTGGTGAAATATGGACACTCAAATCAATAATATGTGTATTTCACTTTCCATTAATATTTATGAGTGTATAACTACATGAGCCATTTGGTAGGGCTAAATTAGTTGTGAACATCAACTTCTACTATCTTCCCTTCCCAATTGTTTCAGTATATCCACTGG